GAATACGAAACAAAAACACAGGTGTCTAGGGTTACGTATATAAAGCTAACAAAGTGGTGTCAATGTGGCGCAGAGGGTATTCATCAGCTAATCAAGATATTCATCAACTTGTGTATGAGAAATGTTAGCTGGCTTGGGAACCACATGTAAACACTCCTTCTAGTTGTAACGTACTCATCTGCAGTTGAGAAAGATGTACAATGGTATCCTATGTGGAAAGTTGAAAATATCGCTTCATAGGCCCTGTGTGGATAGTTTCTTTGGATATTTTCTAGATACTAGTGAGTGTGTGGGTGTTTATGAAAATGAAAACTGGCAGATTGTGGGGCTAGTTCTGCACACCGTGGTGGTGAATCGATCTATATTATGACAAGCTAGATGTTGTAATGGACTTTTGGGAGCGACAGAACGATGCCGATGCACAAATAGATCCTCTCGGAGTTAGTAAATGAGTGGTGCAAGGAGTGACCAGGGAAACAAGCCGACGCTCAATACTCAAGGGAAAGGCGAGACAAATATACAATCATAATGGTACTGGTGCCATCGGAAGTGGAACTCCTCGCTGGCTGCTGAAGATGGAGACGGGCGCTTATGGGGGTGCCCCGAGTGCTGTGATGTCGATTCTTAATTCAACATTTAGATTTGGTTCTGAATTCTTTGCCGTCGTTTTGTTACCAGTATTTTTTGTATTGTCAGTGTAAAACGATGCATTCTTCGTTGTTTATGTTATTGTTAACCTAACCCTTGCAGCCACAAGTTACTATTCATTGAACTTTAACTGTTCCTAAGTTAGGCTGCCGCAGTGGTGTAGTCCTAAGACGCTCACCTGCGAATCCGACGGGCGTGAGTTCAAATCCGAACGGAGCCGAAAATGTATGTAAACGTTTTTGGCTCCCAGTTCGATCCAGGCATAAATAGGTACCATATAATGTTTTGGGAAGTAATGGCGCATATTGTGCATTGACAAGATCACCCGTCGAATGCCGATGGGTCTATAAAATATAGTTCTAACACTATATGCGCTATACACTTGGAGGCGTGTAAAGAGGGTCTTTTACTTTTACCCCAGTGTTGTTTAATAGCGCACAGTATTTAGATCTAAAGAAGTTCGCATAAGATGCAATGGACAAAGGTTGTTAAACTTAAAAGTGCAGATACACAGATTAATATAGCACCAAACTGAGACAGAAGACAGAAATATTATCATGTTATCTGTTTCTTCTTCTTCTACCTTTTATCTTCAATGGGGCACAGTACCTAACTCCAAGTCGTTCTGTTCTTCGCATTGCACGCACACCCCCTCCCCCTCCCCATATCCTCCCCATCTTTTCAACTCAACTATCTATATGCTCCTGTGGTTTCCAGTTCATAGACATTCTAGTTACATTGTTCTCAGGTTCTAATTTTTGTCCACCTCTGTCCTATCCAAAGCCATGGTCTTTTTTTTAACCTCTTTATCAACTTGGAATGGCTTTATTCTCTCCAACAGCTCTACATTTGTGATTTTATCATACAATTTCAAAATGTGTATTCTTTTATCGTTTTAAGACCCCCCCCCCCCCCCCCCCCCACCAAAAAAAAAAAAAAACGTATGGTAAATTCCTGGGTAATGAACGAGTTAAAGACCATGGTGTCGGTGCATAATGTATAGTCCTGACAGATTGTTCTCACCACAAAGAGTGCCCACACAAACCTAACTGTTTACTTCACTTAAAAGAAACATGAAGTTTAAAATGTAAATTATGGTGTTACAAGAGTTATTCTAGCAATCGCCTCTTGCTCTCCACAGCTCTGTCTATGTCTGACATTGGCTGTGTGGCAACACTCATATGGACCAACCTGTGCCTAACTCCTGCCTTCAGTGACGCAGATCTTGGGTTTGAACCCAGTGAAATACAGTACCTGACCAGTGCCATGCCACACGCCACCTTCACCAGAGTGACAAGCTGGATAACAGCGCTTATCACTCTTGAGAGATGCCTTTGTATTACTATGCCTTTAAAGGTTTGTTTTTATCTTCTATGTAGAAATCGCGCGAAGTCCCCCACCCCCTTTTTTTTACCTATACACTTCTATAATTTAATCTTTTTCTAGACAGTGAGTTTTGCGTGCATATCCGTTTTACAGTTCCGACTTATTTGTATACTGACTGCCGATTGGGTTCGCTTCCTGGCAGAGCCGGACTTTTCTTTAAAAATGACTTTGGCTCACAGGTCGACCCAGCTGTGAATGGGTACCGGGTGCAGTCACGGGAAGTATAGGCGGCCAGCGTGATGCTGACCACATCACCTATATTGTGCCGTTGGTCTATAAAATATAGGTCTAGCCCTATATGCCCTATACGCTGAAAGGCGTGGAAAAGGGTCCTTTACTTTACTTACTTACTACGTTAAAATATAGAATGGACCCCAAGCAAACTCAGAACACCTTTCATTATACGTCTCCTACTTCAGCCTAGCTTTTATCCTCAAGTTACTGTCTTTTCAATTTTTCTGTAAGTTTTGTTGTTGTTTTATTTAATTTTTTTTTTTTAAATGCGTTTCTAAAAGTAATGCGATTAAGTTACATTTCCTCCTCTGCAGTTTTTTTTTTCTTCCCGTGGAACATAAGCCACCCACGCCAGGCAGTCCAATTTTATTTGCAGTTTTGGGAACAACCCAGGTTCTTTCCCTTTTTTAACTTCAATCCATAATTTTCTACTCCATCCATAATTTTCTTCTCCATGTACAATTAGATCATCATTAATTTACTGTCCCAATGGCTTCCAGTGCAAATAACTGTTTTGTTGTTGTTGTTGTTGTTGTTGTTGTTGTTGCTCTAACGGTTTTAATTTTAATGTGTGTCGATATACAATACTTACATGGTTTATGCAAGTGTTTCCAGTTGGGCGCCGGCGTTGCTGATGATTATTTCGACACACATTCATTGTTGTGTTACTACATTATTCATTCACACGTAATTAGGTGTAGAGCTACGGATCATTTAAAAATGTCTCGGGATGATCTTTCACTTAAATTACACTACTAGGCAACATGTTTTTCGCAGAAAGCATTATAATCTAGGACAGTGGTTCTTAAACTGGGTGCCTTGACACCCAGGGGTGCCGTGAGTGTATGCCCGGTGGGAGGGGGGGGGGGGGTTATAGTGATACATTTTTCAAAATCCACTTCAGATCAGCCTAAGACTACAGTTTAGAAAGAAAAACAACAACATGAAGGAAGGCAAGACAAGTTCTGGATGCAGGTTATTTAGAAAACAATGCTATTGGCAAGGCTAAAGTGCATTCTCATCGTACGCTTACAAGAAAAAAAAAAAAAAACCCAGTAAAAACCTTAAAGTGATTTGAGAGTACAGTTAACAAAAATTATCCTAAACAATATGGAAAAAATGAAAAATTCCATCTAAAAAGTTTCATTCATCTAAAGACAACTGAACATTAAATTTAGCAATTTTTTTTTTAAAATTTAATTTTCCTAAGTATTCAAACCGTTTTAAGGGTAGGTGTGCCGTGAAAATTTGTTTGCTTGACAAGAATGCCACGGCAAAAAAAGTTTACGAAACGCTGTTCTAGGAAGCCACCGTGGCGGCCGGTGTGATAATGATCACATCACGTCTTCGAGCCCTAGAGTTTCTTGATTTATGACTTGAAGTAGTTTAGTGTTTGAAATTGTATATGGCACGAAAATCTGGTTCTATGTAGCAATACCGTTAAATGGGTTTTCAGGGATGTGTGCCTGTTTTATTATCGTCGGGAGTCGCCGTGGCAGAGCGGCTAGACGCGCGCCGCGGATCGGAAGGTCGTGGGTTCGCTCCCTGGCGGAGACGGACTTTTCTTCAAAAATGACTTTGGCTCCCAGGTCGACCCAGCCTTAAGTGGGTACCGGGTGCAATCCCGGGAAGTAGAGGCGGCCGGCGTGATGCTGACCACATCACCCATCTTGTGCCATTGGTCTATAAAAATATAGGTCTAGCCCTATATGCCCTATACGCCTAAAGGCGTGGAAAGGGTCCTTTACTTTTTACTTACTTTATTATCGTCCTTGAGATGCGTTCCTGCACACTGCACTCGTAGAGGGGAAACACTATTTGAAAAATGAACAATAAAAATATATTGTTAATCATCAGCAAGGAAATGGAAGTTCAAATGTTGATCTTTGGTTTTCATCTTCTCTGTAGCAGTATGCGGATGTGAGTCGTGAAACATCTCACAGTCATTCAAAATGAAAAGAACATCGTCTTTTGAGCTGAAATACTTTATAAAGATAATCACCATAGTATGGACAAATGAGAGAGAAAAACCGACATTCTAACCGATTTGAACAGCAGTTAACATAATAAGCAGAAAAATGTTGGTAATATCACGCGCCCTGACGGATTAAAACAAAAAAAATAGTAGCCGAAGGCATTGTACCAGAAATGGGCGGAAAGGGTCGACTAAAAACGAAGATAGGCACAGGATAAAAGTGACGAAGCGGGAGATGGGCATTCTCCCCAACAGCTAGGGGCACTTTTGGAGTCTGAAGAAGACATGATCGATCTTGATGTGGCGACTTTTAATACATTATGTTCTCATTTGTTACGATGGCTTAAAAAGTGTCGCGGGTTTTTATGGAATGTATTACTGCGCGTAATACCACTACAGGTGGGTAGGCGGGTAGTTGAACCCACCCCATGCGGATAAGGATCACCCTTGAAGAGGTCCTAGAAACCCCTTTCAGCCGTTAAGCCATACCTATGCCCCGGCTATATTATGGGCCCCCGGCAGAAGCCAGGGTGGGGCTTCAAATAACAAACAAAAAAAAATTTGGGTCCCACATGGGACGATTATACTCATGAAACCACTTCATAACAGAGCAGGGATAACATTATATTCTGCAATCAAAAATTTCCATGTACACAATTTATCGGTTATAATTGGCGTTTTCGATGATATTATAACATATGCAACTGCTTTGATGTTTGAACTAATAAAAAAATAGAGTAAAGATTCTCTTCTGCAGGTAAAACAAGTGGTGACAACCAAACGAGTATCCATCCTCGTCATATGTGTGTCCATCACGCTCATTTTCAGCACAACTCCAGTGTACGTAGTAAACAGACTTGGGATGAAGTTCTACCCTGCCAGAAACAAAAGTCTAGTTGGCTTGGTATACACAGAAAATAAAGAATTCGTGGAGACAATATCGTTTGTTATCAACAACATATCGGTTACGTTTGGTGCATTCGTTGTAATTATAACATGTACCGTTGTTTTGGTATTCAAGCTGAAGAAAAGTGTTAAGTGGCGTAAAGGAATAACGAATTCCAAGCAGATTCAACAAGTATCTAGTCGTAATCAAGGCGTGGCTAGGATGGTGGTTATGATTTCATCCCTTTTCATTGTATGTTTTATCCCGATAAGTGTGATTTTTGTGGCTATGTCTTTGGAGCCAGAATTATCCATAAATGGCAGGTATAGAAATATGTTAATTATTTTTGGAGGGTTGGGAACAATATTAGAGTCTCTTAATTCGTCCGTAAACATTTTCATATATTACCAAATGAGTAGCAAATATCGTAGCAATTTTCATCAGTTGTTTAAGTGTTAACATCAACAATTAGCTTGTCCTTCACAGATGATCGATCTCGTCAAGGAACATCTACAAGTCTGCCCTTTCTCTAGCCAGTTCTTTAGCCTGTTCCCCAATTCTTCAATGCCAATTCATCTTCAAAAATAAGCTGACGTTGGATAGGACACACATTGAGAAAACCGAAAAATAATATAACTAGAATGTCTTTGCATTGGAACCCATAGGGGCATAGGAAAAAGGAAAGGCCAAAAACCATGTGGAGAAGGGAGCTGGAGAATGAAGTTAAAGATGGGGAGGACACGGGAAGAGCTGCATGCGATAGCAATGGATAGAACGACTTGTTGTGACTTGGTTGAGAGCCTATGCTCCATCGGGGGGTAGAAAGGCAGAAGAAGAAAAAGAATTCATCTTCAGTGTCATGTACTCACCTTCGCTTAGGTCTGCCTCTAATGTCTTTTGGGAGCTGTTCTTTCCAGCATACTATGACGTGTTACATGGCCATACTACCTCAGGTTTAGAGACAGAATGCTGTTTATGAGCCAATTCTCCTCAATGCTCAGACAAAATAGGTTTCCGTATTTTTCCACTTCCTGGTCCTTGACATTGTGTGAATAGTTCTCTAAAATCGCAGTTCAAAATCTTTGTTTTCGTTGATCAAGGACTGAATGAGTTTGTGATTCACATGCAGAAATTGTTACGGGAATGATATTTGATCTTAATTTGCTTCTTTTAACCAGCATGCAGGTTTTGTTTCGTCGTTTCTTAAAGCTGTTTAGTCTTTTAAAAAGTGCTAAATCGTAATGCTTTTATTGTAAATAAACTGATAACCTGGCAAAATGAATAGTATTTAATCAGAAAAATGTTACGAGAGCGAGTTTAAGAAACGCAACTCCAGTGATCTCGGTGTATTCTCTTCACTCCTTTAGTCGCAGGTAGAGTTAATTTCAACAGTGCCTATGCCTAATTTTGTATCATAAATAATTGTTTTTCAATTGTTTATAGAACTGAAACATACAGTTTTGAAATAGAAGATGTTAGGGTTACCACCAACAAAAAATGGGTTAACATAACTAAAGAATGGGATAGGAGTAGTGATAAAATGTGTGCCACATATAGTGTAGCTAATAAACGTATGGTGAGTTCTGTCGCGTGCGAATGTGCACTAGAACGCACCAGTACTGAGTGAGCAAATAAAACGTCAAAACAATACGTAACGTTGTGAAGGTATTGTTGTCAAAGGCAGTCGATGTTTATAGTCCGAAGGAGACGGACGTGTGGATCCTTGAGGACGCTCTACCCCGGGATCCCACGGAAGCAAACGTTATATAAAGTTGGATCCTTGAGGACGCTTTACCCCGGGACTCCAAGATAGACCTCAACAGGAAGCTGGTAAATGTTACATTTCGGCAGTAAGCCGGTATACCTTCATAATTTTTCTTCAGACGTTTAACTTCACAGTTATTTATCGTCCAGGAAAAGGAAATGTCTTGGCCGATTTTTTGTCGCGCACCCCAGATGCATTGGAATAGGATGGATGTTTGTTGTTGAATTCATGCTGTTATGCAAAATAATTTGGATAACAATAATGATGTTGATAATAATGCTTAGTGAAGTCAGGAATCTATATTTTGCATTCATTTTAGCAATGTATTATGTTATATTGAGACGTGAGTGTCTGTGTATTCAAGTGTTCTTATTTGCTCTCTCGTATTGGTGCTGTTTGCCGCGACATAACTCCAATTTTCCGACCGAGATTACGACAAGTCCTAGTACTCGGTCGTCCTCGGGGGAGGGGGGAAAAGCTGTCGCGTGCGAATGTGCACTAGAACGCACCAGTACTGAGTGAGCAAATAAGACGTCAAAACAATACGTAACGTTGTGAAGGTATTGTTGTCAAAGGCAGTCGATGTTTATAGTATGAAGGAGACGGACGTGTGGATCCTTGAGGACGCTCTACCCCGGGATCCCACGGAAGCAAACGTTATATAACGTTGGATCCTTGAGGACGCTTTACCCCGGGACTCCAAGATAGACCTCAACAGGAAGCTGGTGAATGTTACATTTCGGCAGTAAGCCGGTATACCTTCATTATTTAATTCAGACGGCTGAACTGAATACAAAGGTGATTGTCTGGATCTCAAGGTCGGACTGCGACCTATCGTGAGGACATATCAGTCCATGGATGTACGAGCGAGCTTTTGTTGATGTGCTTGAATGAATATGAATTATTACTTGCATATTTTCTCATTGTGTTGCTGATTGTATATATCAATACAACCGTTGGAACTTAACGCATAGCGTTCGAGCTCTACCTTTTGAAAGCATTGAAGTAAATACTGTTTTACCCCTACTTGGCACTATTTCATCTTGGTACGACACACATCAGCATGAAGCGCCTACGCACGCCACAAGTTCCTAGGTACTGTTGAGTTGATCACTAAGGACTCAGCGATCCCTTACCAGGATTTGCGTCTGACTGACTGGCGTTCAACTCCACCGGTACATCACGCCCGAGCGATAAACACCTGGTGACACAATGTGCCACCATTCGGATGAGGATAACCAGGTGACATATATTGGACATCCTGTTTAACCAAGAGGCTGGGTTATTTTAAGGATTCGTGTTCTCTCGCTCAGTACGTATTGACAGATGAAGCGCAACAAGAAATATGAATTTAATCTTGACTACTTTTACATTTTATTCAACTTCTCATTAAGTAAACTAAGCACTTGAATAGTTAATGGAAGAGAACATCGCTTACATAGGGCCATAGACATGCATTATACAAAGTACATGGAATAAGAAAACACGCATATAAGTTGAAATTAGTAGTCGTAGTTTTTACCCCACTAGAACATAACACAAGCGATAAACACCCGATTACACAAAATCCACAATGTGGAGGAGGATCACCGTTGGAGAGATCCCTAAAACCATGTTCAGCTTATATCCAGGCTATGATGCGGCCTCTGGGAAGAGCCATGGTGGGGCTTCAAAATAAGGAAAAAGTGCACCTCACAAGGATACGGCTAATTATATGATAAGTTAACATTATTTTATATTGGAAATGTAGTGGCGTTGTTTTAATAAATCAGAGGGCACACAAACCATTCAAAATAACACATGGGGTAAGACTTTGATGCTTCTTATCGCCATTGCTGTCTATAACTTGCACTAACAGTATATGCAAGAACGATAACACCGGAAGTAAAATATTATAACCATCATCGAATTTCACTTGCTGATGACCAGGCAGTCTGAGCCGTGTCATTGCGACATCTCACATCTATCAATTAGGGTTTCAGCGAAGTTGTCGCCCTTCAAGCCCAAGTGAAGTCCAGAATATATGTCACCAAATGCCAAATCAAGTATTGGGTCACAAAGAATGCTTCCAAGTCGGGTCTCGAAATAAGTCACTTCATGTGTCAAGTGGTTTGCATGTCGCGCAAGGGATAATGTTTTTGGATTAAAACAGGAAATTGCAGTGCGAAAGATGAGCAAGAAGAGCAACTGTGTATCTACGTTGACACTGACGCTGTAAAAGTGGCAGGGAAGGAGAAGAAGAAAAAAAAGCATAACAACCAGAAAAAGAAGAAGAAGACAAAAGAAGAAGAATGAAGGAAGTAATTAGGGAGGAAGCAATTAAGGAATAAAGAAAGGAAGAAGACAATTTGTAGGACTAAACATAATCATAATCGTTCAGTTAGTCTAATTTCCTGTTGTCCCTCATTGGTTACGAAAACTAAAGATTTGACGGAACGTTGCCCTGTATTTACTGCTCATATTATAATATATAAAAATATTGACCGACGAGTTTGCAGACTCTAGAACAAAACCAACCCCAAAAATTACAATAAATGTGTTCTTAAATGCTCCATCAATTGTGAGTCGGGGCTCTAAAGCCATTGCCAAGAAACTGAAACAGGATGGAGTGAAGCAAATAATAAACACTGTAGAAATTAATATAACCATCTTAGATACTTTCTGATCTCGACTAAGGAAAGTATCTGACTGTACAGATGCAGATGAAAGCCTCCATTTTGCTTTCTTATTCAGTTGGATGACTAGTGTGACTGTAGAAACTATCACTGTTGCAAAAGATCCAAATGGAATTATAACGTTGTTGATGATTACTGAGACCTTCTCCACACTTTCTCGATTCTCAGTATGGATAAGGCCAAGAATGGTTCTGTTTGTGTGTTGTTGAATTATCATGGCAAAACTGTTGACACAGTACATAGGGGATACGCTACAAATAAGCAGCATGAAGGTTAGGATTATAATGATTGTGACTCGTTTTGAAGAAAATAGCCGTTTCACCTGAAATGTAAAACAAAACAAAAAAGTTAGTTAGGCACTCATTGACAAACACTGCTACACCAGTAGTGACAATAATGGAGACGTCTCTGACCTGGTATGACCATTTGCAAATTTTAGGCCAATCGTCCTTTGTCATTAAGCTATTCGGAACTTGGTGCCCAAACTAGTATTGTGCTACAAAGTCGGTGCCATTATCGACTGTGCACAATCCATTATATATAACCATGCTGGTGGTATCAACTAAAACTGACATATACATAATAACAAAAAAAATGCAACTTATAAAGCAAACACGACAGAAGAATTAAAAAATAAACATATACTGTGACTTTTACATTTTCTTTGATGCGCAAAGCATTTTGGTATGAAGCAAATGGCTGTGCGATTCAGGCGTGACTGTTAATTTGTAATTAAACGATGACTTGTTTAAAAAAAAAAAAAAAGACGATTACTAATGACTCTACGACATGAACCATCTAGTGCCCCACGTTTGTAAAAAATACAGGCGCTCTTCCCGCAAGTGCAAGAATTTAAATACTTGGGAAGTATCTTTACATCCAATGGTAAAATAGACAGAGAGATCGAAGCAAGAATCCAACAAGCCAACAATGTCGCATACCAGCTTGCCCCAATTTTAAAACGCCCTGCTGTCCCAGCTGAGATAAAAAGACACATTATAAATACAATCTTTATACCGACATTAGGTTATCAATGTCAGACTTGGACATTAACAAAAGAACACGAGATAAGACTTACCACCTGTGAAATGAGATGTTTGAGAATGGCTGCAAATAAAACCAGAAGAGATAGAGTGAGAAACGATGTGATTACAAGAACTATTGGAACCATACCCATCGTTAAATTTATTGAGAAGCAAAGAATGAAATGGTTTGGTCACCTAATGAGAATGGAACCAACGATGCCAGCATCAAGAGCATACAACATGAAAA